TGTAATGACTGTCGACTCAAACACAGTAACAGTTGTGCTAGAGCGCTAATGACAAACTGTTTTCAGGAATTTTCAACCTTCAGTGATGTTTGTCAATGTTACACACAGCCTCATTCTTTTTAAAGTCAATTTTATCATAAATCCTTTTAAAAAAAAATTTCTTCCTTTAACATTTTGGGAGTTAAACACTACTTACTAGGAGATTCACTTATTAGCTTAGAATAAGTTAATACAATCAAGTCCTATTTGTTGATGTCAGTCAGTCAGATGCAACGTAGAACTTCGTACGTAAGTATATCTATCAGTCCAAGTTGCCATATCACATTAGTACAGAGCTGTAATTGTCAATTCCATTACTATAGTAGTAGCGATAGTAGTAGTATTAGAAGTAATCGGAGAGGTTAGGATTACAAGATATTAATCAAGAAGTATGATTCAGTGAGAAAAGTTTAGAAAGACAAAACTAGAGGTGTTAAAGAATCCAGAAGATTAGGATTTGAGAGAACACAAAGAGTGGATGCACTGGCTCCATTGCAAACGGTTTTCAGTCATGTCATTCAGAGTCTCTAACCATCGATTTGTTGATGTAGAGACATTGATAAAATGCAACTTTTTTTCAATTGTCTCAATCAAACAAACATACAAACAATTTTTTATTTGGGATATAATTGATTATCTGACTAAACTTTCTAAATTATTTGGTTATCATTTACTAAATATACACCAGAGACGATTAAACCTTTCAGCCAGACTATATTCTATTATTCATGTTTAATGAATAAATAGAACAGAGCGAGACAATTGCATGAAAACCTAAATTTTTCTAGTACAAAAGAAAACAAGGCTTAAGTGAATTTTATTATTGACGGTTATTTGTTCATTGAAGAGAAAAGATCATGTGTGTGTGTGTGTGTTTTTTTGTTATCACCAACAAAGACAAATTCCTAAGATTATGCTTTACAATTAACGGGAAAAAAACAACTCAGAAATATGAACACAGACAGAGAGAAAGAGAAAATTTTAAAACGAAAGCTTCTTCATATAGTGTCTTCGTTTATTTTTCCCTGTTTACAAAATATAATAAGAATATAATGTGTGTTGAATAAAGGAGGATAGTAGAAATTCAACCGTGCCATTGACATTCATTCATATACACAGTGAAAATTTCATTGCTTACAATTAATTGAGTAGTACAACAACAACTACTATTATTAATAATAAGTAGTATAAATTATTGGAATAAATTTATTTTTGTAAAGCCTAACTTTATCGAATGTGTATGTAGTGTGTAGTAAGTAATATGCTTTGACAAATGGAAAAATGTTCCAATAATGTATACGATTACAAAAAAAAACATGCATCTACTGTCTTATTTTTTTTTTAAATAAGTAGTACATTCCTAAAGAAGAAAGAAAAACTTTTTTTTTTGAAAAATAATATTCATAAACATTAAAACAACAGTAATAATAATAATAATAATAATAAACACTAACAGAACACACAGCATAATCAGTAAACATAGAGAGAAGAGAGAAATGCTTTATGAAAATGATCATATACAAATAACTATATCGTAAAAAAAAAGTAATTTTTTTAAAAAAAAAGAAGGAGAGTCGATGTAGTTCGTGTAAACGTTTTTTATTCTCCAGAATAAAAAAATTACTTACTTATTTACTTACTTAGTTAGTTAGTTACATAACGCCGAAGAGAGAAAAAATAATAATAATATATAATCCTATTATTTTTATAAAAAGAAAATACTAGTTAAGTAAACCTGACTGTAACAACATGTATTGAGTGACTGCAGTATGTATGTAAGGCAACATCTGCTGCTCATCGATGAACATTCATTACCTATCATCATCATCATCATCGTTATCATCATGAATACTAATATAAGTGGAAACATTTTATTATTGACAAGAAAAAACAAAGAAAATTGCATTATACACAACACGTAAGATAATAATAATAATAATAATAACTATAAATATAAATATATATGCATAGATACTTTAATTAAAAAGTAAATAAGAATCTCTTTTGAAAGTACACAGAGAGAGAGAGGGAACCACCACCAACGATGAAAGAAAGATATGTTGCTTTTTCTATATAACAAACAGAAATTAAGAAAAAAAACACCCCTAACATTATTTTTCATTTAAATGAATAAGTAGAAGAAGCCTATGGTAGTAACATATGCTTGTCTGTGATGTTGTTGTTGTTGTACACACACAACAAGGTTCATGAAATATAAACAGAAAAAACAATATTTGAAAAAAATGATGATTTAGAGAAAAGACATAGAAATTTTTTTTTATAGCTAACTTTAGAAGAAAAAAACCAACTTCACTGTGTGATTGATTAGCTGTTTGATTCACATCCGTACAGCCCCATACACATTCGTACAAACCGTACATAGTAGATGTTCTTTGAAAATAACCTATTCAATAAGATAAGATAATATAAATCAGTGCATAATTACATATACACAGTTTTCTATGCTGATCATTTTCAACATTCCTAATACCAGTGAGTGGAGTTGTTTTACAATTTTGTTAAATATATATATGAACTAGAACACCTCGATTTTTTTTTGTGTGTGTGTTGAAAATAGTGAAAAGTAATTGCATTGCCTAATTATATATAAGAATAAATGTGCGCAATAAAAAAGAGACCTATTGAATACATTGTATATGTATACGTACATATGTATATACACTGATATATAGACATTGTGTCATTTCATACATGTCACAGTCATCATTTTACAAATGTGTATGTGTGTGTGAGAGAGAGTAGAAGAGAGCAAAAGAGAACAGAGGTAATTTTCAAAAAAAAAAGACAATAAACAATTATAAAACAAATTTCATATGGATAGAATAGAGAAGAGATTGTGTGTATATGTGTAGGTGTGTAGGTGTAGTGGGAATGGAGAAATGAACAATAAGTTAACCAAGTAACTCACTAACTAACTAAAGCATAGCTTCCAAATCGGTGCTACGACATTCACGAGACAATTTTGGTGGTTCACATAATTCATTAAGATTATTATTATTATTATCATTGGTTGTAGTATTAGTAGTAATAGTACTACTACTACTACTAGTAGTACTATTAGTAGTAGAATTATAGTCATATGAATCCCAGTGTCGTTTACGTGGTGGTAAATTAAATTGATGACTATAATCAATGTAATTAGGATAAGAACTTTTCAAATGATGATGATTATTATGATGATGATTGTGGTGATGGCCGTGATGTTGATGATGATGTTGGTGATGATGATGATGATGACGATGTCGATGATGTGAACAACTGTCTGTTGTATTAGTGTAAATGCTTTTCTCCGTTGATATCACAGTAGAACAACTATGATTATTATTACTATTATTCACTGAAACAGAAGGTGTTTCACGTGAAAATTCATCAAGTATTAAATCTTGCAATGATGCATGCATTGATTTCACATGATGATGAGGATGTTGATGTGACAATGTATCATTGATTCTAGTTGTACAAGTAGTAGATGTACTACTACTACTATTAATGCCGGCTGAACGATTGAATTCCGGAAGTAATGAAGGAATCTCATTATTATGCTTATTATTATTGTTGAAGAAATCAACACAAGATTTTGTAAAGGATGATGATGATGACGACGACGAGGATGACGATGGTATCACATCATGTGTATAAACATCTGAATGTATATGCATAGGTAGTAAAGGTGGTGGAGGCGGAATATTTGTGTGTATAGTACTACTACTACTACTACTAGTAGTAGTAGTACTATTGTGATCATGATTATCATGATTACTAGTCACAGTTACAATTCTATGATCACAATCTGTTTTATTACTAACAGTATGAATAGATGAAACATTCGTAGAAGAATGATTAATTGTATTCATAGATTTGATTAATACTGGTGCAAATTTATGAACATCAATATTATTATTACTACTACTACTACTAGTAGGAGTAGTATGATGATGTTGCTGTAACAGTGAACTTGTATTGTTTAATGTTTTTGTTGACTTCATGGAAGAATTATTCAATAGTAATGAGTGCTGACCGGATATCGATTGATCGTTGTCTATGGGATGAATTGAAGATGATCGAATTGTGTTGTTGTTACATATGAGTGTACTGTTAGTATTATTATGATGATGTGAAACTTTAGTTAACGATGGTGGAGGCGGTATCATTGTTGTCGTTGTCGAATTCAACGGGACAGCAGACTGACGATAATTATTATTTAATGCTAATTCTGGACAATTGATAGTAGAAGGAGATTGGAATACATGTTGGTCATTATGATAATTGAATCCATTTTTCTTTATTAATTCTGTGATGAGTTTATTATCATTGCTAGGATGGATTGATTTATTCATTAATGTAGGAGTAGTGGTGGGATGTTGATTTTGTAATAATGAATGGTCGGATTTCATGTTAGCTGTTGTTGCACTAGCTAAAAGACGTGCAGCTTCAATTTGATGACGTCTTACTAATTCTTGATTAGCAGCTGAAAGGAGTGATATCTGCACACACAGACACACACAGAGAGAGAGAGAGAGAGAGAGAGAGAAAATACACAGCACAACATATAAATCATGTAATTTGTTCAGAAACAAAACTTATGCATAAAGCAACTGAAAAAATTATCATAAATTGCATTAGTAAATTTTGCTTAAAATGTAAAAGTCTGTTGTTATATAATACATACATACACTACACCGTAGATCATATCAACAGAATGAGACAACAGACAAACATTGGCAAAAAGATGCGCAATACAAATCATTAAATTTGTGAGTAGGCTACGATGCTACTGCCCAGATGATCAAACCAAAGCAGGAAGTTTTGTAGGGGGGGGTATGTGCGAGCCTTTGACTCAAAAGTCTAATATACAAGGCAGTGGAGCAACGTTGGGAGATGCAGTTGCATGGTAGCTAGCTGGTGACCAACAATAGATACAAATGCTATTTGTTTCCTCATCACCCTAAATCCTATGTGGATTGGAATCAGGGTTCTCGTCTAGGTGGATCCTCTTTTGCAACTAACCTAGTCAAAGCGTCAAACATTTGCTTTACATTTCTCTTCGAGACAGTTGGTGATTAGGCATTCGTAACACTTGTCCCAACCATCTCACCTGATGAAGTTTCACTACTTCATCTATTGATCTGCCATCCATCCCTAAATAGTATCATACAAAAAATGTATGTAATCTTGTGCATATGAAGACTACTCAACTACTCACTGATTATCATGATGATGTCGATCAACAGAAAAAGGGACGAGTAGAAAGAATGCATATTTATTAAAAAACTCTGCTAACTATCTTTTTACAACATGTAAACGATTATTTTGGTACTAATTAAAACTTTAGTAGTATAAATTATATAGCGGTGAAAATATTTCTATTTAGAACTACTTATAAGATTATCAGTATTATTATTATTATTATTACGTTTATTCCTATTTATAACTAAGCGTTCTTTTGTTAGTGAATCGATTCGTCATACTTTTGATGATGAGTTATTTAGACGAGACCATTACACTTTTTCATGTTTTATCTCTGAGAAATTACTGAAAAAAGACGAAAAATCATCGAGAGCCGTAATTTTCGAAATTTTGAGAAACCCATAATTTCAGATAAAACTACTCATTTAGTTCAACCTTTTTGGGGGGAGGGGTAAGTGCGAGCCTTTGATTTAAAAGTCTAATACACAAGGCAGTGTAGCGCCGTTTGGAGATGCAGTCGCATGGTAGCTAGCTGGTGACCAAGTATACATTCAAATGCCATTTGCTTCCTCATCACCCTGAATCCTATGTACATCAGTGGATTGGAATCAGAGTTCTTCAACTCCCCTAGGTGTTTCCTCTGTTGCAACTAACCTAGTTAAAGCGTCAAACATTCGCTTGACATCCTCTCTGTTCCGTAGACATCATGTCTGTCACAAGAAGGCAGTGATTAGGACTACTCGGACAGTGTCTAAATACGTGTGGCTATATTCATGCATTTCGAGAGAGACTGAGTGAGGACTCTCCCTTCTGTCGGCGTACCAGGATATCTAAGGATAAGTCTACCGTCAAACTTTATCAACTAAATATAGGTTTTTGTAGTTAGCCTATATGAGATACTTTCGTTTGAGGACATCGTAAATTACTCAGTCAGTCAGTCAGTCAGCTGCAACGTAGAACTTCGTACGTAAGTACATCAGTTCATGTCGCCATACCACATCAGCACAGAGTTGTAATTGTCAATTCAAATCCAATAGTAGAAGAGGTAGTAAAGGTATTAGAAGTAATCGGAGAGGTTAGAATTAGAAGATGTTATTCACGAAGTATGGTTCAATGAGATAAGTTTAGAAAGTAAAAACGAGGTGTTGAAGAATCCAGAAGATTAGGATTTGAGAGAACATAAAGAATAAATGCACCGGCGCCACTGCGAACGACCCAACCGAGCTATATTGGCTGGAACATATGTTCCTGTAGGTCCTACCATGCCAGGTAGGTCGATTGGAGAACGATGAGACTTAAAGCAGCTACTCAAGGTCTGAGGGCGAAGTCGTACTGCTGACTGACTGTAGAGGGGTGTGACAGCAGTAAGGTGTTTCCCTCGGACAACCAGCATCTGCAGCGATGCTGTCTTCTCGCAAGGAAGGAAGGGTTAGAAAAGGTCGACCCTATAAATGTCACACCTCACCCTACCTCACGGATTTCCGTCTGCGGCGGTAAGGGTGCCCACTAAGGGCTTTCAAGAACGGAGCTAGTCCTCAAAATACCTTTCATAAAAAGGCCGTGCGTGACCGACCTCAAGCAGTTGTCCCTCGGGCTCTGCGGTCACACTCCCAGGTCTCCAAGACCAACACTAATCTACCTTCCTTTTCAAGTCACTCAAGAAACAACCTTCCATGGTGTGGGCAGCCGGGAAGTGACATCCACTCCTCATACCCATGACAACACACGAGACCAAATTGGTTGAAATCAAATCCTTCCTACACCCACACATACCTCTCTTCTCTCCACAACTGACTGACTGAAAAGCAGTCCTGTAATATCCACTTTGAAAAAGACTATAAATGACGTTATGACCGTGTTTTGAATAGTAACTATATAAAATGCACTAAATTTAATTACTGAAACTGGAGCATAGTTTTATTACAGAGAGTTAGAGAGCATCGGATAACATAAGTTTTAAATCCTACATCTTTTAGCCGATGATTCCATGTCATGATTATTGAGGTTCTCGTTCAAAAAGGCTTAAAATCATATAAAAATGTAAAGGTGAAGCGCCTTTTTCAGTGAAATGATGACATTCCACTATAATGTAATCAGAATAAAAATACACTACATTACATCAAGTTAAAATAATTGGGAGAAATTAATTAACAATTCAGTCCTAATGAACAGAAACATGGAAGAATACGTACGCTTATTCTAATCAACGAAAGGAGACAAACTCTGTCATACATACAACCAATAAAAAAACACTATAATGTTTCCACGCAATAAATAACTAACTACATTCACATACAGAATGATTCATAGATTACAGTAAATGCCTACACTTCCTGAACACAATCAATGTGTATAAAACAAAAACTAACTATTCATTTATCAGGATTTTTTCTAAAATATCAACTACATATATATTTATTTCCTACGCACAAAATGTATCAGTGAAAAAACACAACTAACACACGGTCAAACAAAGAATGAATTCATGAACAAGCGTGTGATACTGTGTAGGCTACTACTACTACTACTACTGCCTTAAGCGCGGATTGGCAAATCAAGGAAAACATTTCTATGACTGAAGAACACCTGAAAATCAAAACAACTGTCAACAAACACCAAAGTCACAATTTTCAATACAAATGTCAAGAGTGTTCTACTGTATGGAGCGGAAACTTGGGAAAACTATGAAAACCTTCATACAGAAGATATAATTGTCTACTTCAGATTCGTTGGCCAGACACTATCAGCAACAACCTACTATGGGAGAGAACAAACCCGATTCTAGCTGAGGAAGAAATCATGGAGGAGCGCTGGGAGTGGATAGTAGGACAAACATTGAAGAAAACATCCAATTGTGTCACAATAGAAGCCCTCACTTTGAACCCTCAAAGTGAAAGGAAAAGAGGAAGGCTAAAGAACACATTATTCCGAGAAATTCCGAGACAGGCACGAGAATAACAAACAGCAGTTGGACAGACCTAGAAAGGAAGGCCTAGACCCAGGAAACAATAGGTAGGAGAATGCTAGTCAGCGGCCTATGCTCAATCGGCAGTAACAGAGGCAAGTAAACAAGAAAGTAATGGCTTAGATTGTTAATAATTGACAAACTGATTTACGAGAAATGTAATAGAAGTTTTGAGTTAAACTTTAGTCGTATAAAAGAAACCCAATAATACTTACTATCGAACTATTAAAAATCAAATTATATAAAATAATAATATCATTAGAACAACACATATAAGCGAACAATATTGTTTTCGATTAGATCGTCATCAGGCTGCTTTACTCTAATATACATGAATATTAGAGTATGAAAATGTTAAACCAATCAAGGCAATTTGAGTGATAATCACAATGAAATGAAAAAGATTACGTAACTACATCTAATAGGCAAAAGTTCAAGTGGATAATAGGAAAACAGGTGTACTGATAGTAGTAAGAAAATTTGTAAAATATGATAACTAAAGTGGGTCCATTTCGTATTCAACAACAATTATTATAGGCAGATAGACGGTATAGCCATCGGCTCACCTCTAGGCCCGATTCTAGCTGATCTCTTTCTAGCAAAGCTAGAAAATGGACCACTCAACGAAGTTATTCAAAAACTTGATCTATATTGCCGTTATGTCGATGACACATTCATCATTGTAGATCAGGACACCAGGAAAGAAAAACTTTTAGAACAATTCAACAATGTACATCCGGCAATCACGTTCACTGGTGAAGAAGAATATGATGAAAAACTGTCTTTCCTTGACATCACACTAAGTAGGCGAAAGGATGGTTCACTAAGTAGAAGCGTGTATCGAAAAAATCCCAGTGCTTGCCAATACACTCACTTTTGTAGTTTTACACCTATCCGCTACAAAAGAAATTTGGTTAGATGTCTCACTTACAGAGCAAATATGATATGTTCAATGGATACTGTAAGTCAGGAGCTGGAATTCATCAACGGCTCACTAACCGAGATTGGTTATCCAAGCGCATTCTTAAAGAAGTATATATCTGCCGTAAAAAAGAAGCCGGTGGCTTCGACTGCCCGAAAGAAGCCTATGTTTATGAAGCTACAATTCAACGGAGATGTGGCCTGCGATACTCTGCAGGACAGATTAAGAAGAGTAATTAACAGAACATTCAACGCTGCAAAACTTGCATTGACTTTCTCCAGTCGACCTGCGATGTCTACTCAAACGAAAGATAAGTTACCTGAGCTGGCCTCCTCTATGTGCATTTACAAATTCAGCTGCTCCTGTGGAGATAGCTATATCGGGCGTACTTCCAGGCAACTTAACCAACGAATGAGTGAACATCTCCCAGCATGGTTTACGAAGGATCAGTCAAAAACAATACGCAGTTCTATCTTAGCACACCTGGTAGATAGTGGTCACATTGTAGATAAATCTAGATCTTTTCGGGTGATCTATCGTATACCTCCATCATTTCCCAACAGAGTTCGATCCCGTCTCCTTCACATTGCAGAAGCCATAGGAATACGTACATTCAACCCTAATTTATGTGTTCAGAAGAAATTCGTGACATCCCTATCTCTTCCGTGGCCGGATATGACGTAACCAATGATTGACATATTTTTATTATTTTTTTGATTTTTTTTATTTCATTTTATTTTTACACATTTGCTTATTACATAATGTTTTTGACGTTTTTGATGATTATTTGAATTCTATTCACCCACCCTTGACCTACTTTAGTTATCATATTTTATAAATTTTCTTACTACTATCAATACACCTGTTTTCCTATTATCCACTTGAACTTTTGCCTATTAGATGTAGTTACGTAATCTTTTTCATTTCATTGTGATTATCACTCAAATTGCCTTGATTGGTTTAACATTTTCATACTCTAATATTCATGTATATTAGAGTAAAGCAGCCTGATGACGATCTAATCGAAAACAATAAGATTGTTCGCTTATATCCGTGTTGTTCTAATTTTCACAATGGGAATCTTTAAAATAATATCATTCATTAAATTGGCAATCTAATATAATGAGTGATAAACTTACTTGTTTACGAAATTCAGCAATTTTCTCTTCTAATGCATGATGATGTTTGATTAATTTACGAGCTTGAGCAAAAAATGCAGCAGGTGTAGTAATGAGTATACCTAACTGTAATTTGTTTTTTTTTTGGGGGGGAGGAGATAAGAACAATTGATTATAAAACGCAAAATAATTTTACACATTTTAAACAAATACAATAGCAATGAATAGTTAAAAAAATTATTCAAAAATATCTAAATGAAACATTGAAAACTTTGCATTTTACCCACACTTCTATCATCACAATTATCTCATATTATCTTAACATTGTTATACATTTGTACTATTGTTTTGACAATCACATGTACTTACTTACTTACGCCTGTTACCCCCCAGTGGAGCATAGGCCGCCCACCAGTTTTCTCCAACCAACTCTGTCCTGGGCTTACCTCTCCAGTTCTGTCCAATGTCTGTTCATTCCTCTCATATCTTTCTCTATTTCTCGGCGTAGTGTGTTCCTTGGCCTTCCTCTTTTCCTTTTGCCTTGAGGGTTCCATGTGAGGGCTTGTCTCGTGACGCAGTTAGGTGTTTTTCGTAGTGTGTGTCCTATTTACTTCCACCGCTTCTTCCTGATTTCTTCCTCCACTGGAATCTGGTTTGTTCTCTCCCACAGTACGTTGTTGCTGATAGTGTCTGGCCAACGAATCCGAAGTATTTTGCGTAGGCAGCTGTTAATAAACACTTGTATCTTCTGAATGATGGCTTTGGTAGTTCTCCAAGTTTTCAGCTCCATACAGTAGAACTGTCTTCACATTTGTATTGAAAATCGTGATTTTGGTTTTGGTTGAAAGTTGTTTGGAGTTCCAGATATTTTTCATCTGTAGAAATGCAACCCTTGCTTTGCCAATCCGCGCCGTCACATCTGCATCGGATCTACCTTCGTTGTCGATGATGTTAACGTCCTCGAAGGCATCTGCATCAAGAGTGATTTGGTTGTTGCATGTTGCAATCACATGTAAGTGTAATTTAAGAGTAATGAATTCATTTGTCAATGGTTTACTTACATAGCTTCTTGTTACTTTTTTCTTTGAAAATCCCTCTTACACACTTACACACACTTCACTTTGTAATCCTCCCTTCACCTAGCAAATCACACACATTTCAGGTTAGACACCTAAAACTACCACCTAATTATGAACGTTTAAAAATGAGAACACATTTTTAAAAGATTTGTGTCATAGTGAACTTTGTGTTCAATATAACCAGATCCGTAAAAGCGGTCAACTTCTTTTTTCTTGTTCTGCTTATTCTTGGAATAAAAGATAAGGACAATTTTAACACTCATGCCAACATATATGACGAAACGAGAATGTACCACATGTATAGAGTGGTGTATACTACTCACAATGTGGTTCATAAGTAGTATGCCATGGATATGTGTAGCGGAATGTCACTCAGACATTATTGCTGAAACAAACACTGTCGGATCTGAATGTATAGAGCAATCAAAGGGTTCCGAATACGAGAAGATATGTGAAAGAAGTCGACCGACAATTTACTTGTCTTACAAATGATCAAAACAATTTATCGTTGATGATAGAATGTTATATAACCACTGATGTAAAATATCCTCCCCTTCTAGTATAACAACAGAAAATTAAATTTTCAATGTCTCATGATTTAGTGTAGAGAATCAAAAGATAATCCATCAGACAGACAGTCAGTCAGTTATAACGTAGAAATTCATACATACGTACGTACTGTACATCAGTTCAGATTGTCACACCACATTAGCACAGAGACACGCGATTGTCAATTTAAATCTCAGCATAGTAAAGGAAGTAGAAATATTAGCGGTAATCAGAGAGATTAGGGTTCAAAGATATTGGTCAAGAAGTAAAATCTAGTGAAATAAACTTACAAAGAAAATGGTGATGAGGAATTCAAAAGGTTAGGATTTCATAGAACACGAAGAATGAATGCAACTGCGCCATTGCAAACGATTTTGAGCTATGTCATTCAGGGTCTTCAACCATCGATTACTATCATCTCACGGACCCCAACCAGGTAGTCTACATCTACCAACATGACTCAGTCCACATGTCAGTGACTTCATGGATTTCTGCCATGTTTTGGTTTGGCCGCCCCTAGCTTTCTTCCAATCTACTCCTACACTACAAAACATAGCTCGTCACGGCAGTCGGTGGTTAGCCATTCGTAACACATGTCTCAACCATCTCAACTGATGAAGTTCCACTACTTCATCTATTGATTTGCCATTCCCACCTAGAACTCGTTTCTTAACGACAGCATTGCTTATACGGTTGTCCCACGATACATGAGCAATGCTTCAAAGACATTTATGATCGAATACTGGTAACCTACGAACATCTTCTATTGTTAACGGCCATCCGTATAGGAGAGCGGAGCAAACTGCTGAGCAGTACACCCGTCCTTTGATTAGCGAACGGATATCTCGCCTACGCCATAAACGGAGTAAATTGGCAATTTGAAAGTGACAATTAGACACAAATCATCACTACTATTTACATTCGGTTAAATGGATTGACATGAAACTGTGATTTATAAAATCGGACAATATCAGTTATTCTGGTTTCACGTTTACGTACGATGATCGAAGACTAGTAACCTACGGATGTCCTGTACTCTTTTTTTTATAAATATAAAACAAAATGATCTGAAGTTAGTAGCAGTAGTAGTGTGGTGCTGTGGTGCGAACTACTTATAAGTAGTATATAACGTGAGTGTCAACGTAAAGTCTGGTAGCATAATACGGGGGGAAGATCAAGAAAGGAAGAGCGAGGGAACACAATGGAATTTGTATGAAACGCATGAATAGTCACAATGGATTGATGTTTGGCAACAGAAACAGTCCAGTTCCATAGGATGAACTGATCTTTTGCAAATGAACGATTTACGATATGGTTTTCCAATTTTACTGAGTAACTCTGTAATTTTCGGTAAATACAATTCGGTTGCCCCACCTGTGTTCTCATTCACTACATTTGGTGTCGCTGCCTACGCAAAGGATGAAGATTCCATGGCCGAAGGAGTTTGAGGCCGTGGCGGAGCTGGTGAAGGTGAAGGAACCGAAGGCGAAGCTGGTGGTGCTGGGAACGCTGCTGAGAGGAAGGGCGAAGGCCGTATATGA